ACTGTTTTATTTCATTGCTGTGATTAACAATGGTAGCTAAATCCAGCCTGGATATGATCATTCCCCAGCAGATGTGTGATTATAGAAAAAGATTATTATACTTACTCTTTTGCTCTTATATATATATATATATATATATTTTTATATATATTATATATTTACATATACATTATATTGGAGTTTATGTCTCTGTGAAATTCTTTTGATTTTTTTTTTTTCCCCCTTCATTCCATCACTGTCCTCCTTCCCTCCTGCAGTTCTGTCCGACCTTTGCATCCTTCCTGACGCTTTTGAAATAACATTAATTCCTCTTTCCCCTCTGTACAGCCTTCAGGTGCCTGCAGCCTCCCCAACCCTGCTCGGTGCCAGGTGGGACACTGGCTCCACGTCCTCTGCACTAGCACAGCTTACGCAGGATGTAGAACATGTGTAGCTGATAAAAACATTGCATTATTTGCCAGCAATAACTAAAATGCAGACAAATGGGGAAAAAACAAAACCTATTAATACCTTAGCAGGATCAGCTGGAGACTTACCATCCCCTGGTGACCTTCGCTTTAGGTACTTGAACATGAGACCTTTTATGCTTACAGTTTTCGGGAAGGATTTTGTGTTTAAAAAAAGAAAAAAAAAATATTCTGCCTCTCTTAAAAACCTTTCCGAAACTTAGTTTGTGTACCTTGTGTCTGCAGAGGTGGCTTTCTGTGTTCTCTAAGCTACAGGGCTGGGTTACCCACTCACTGCACTGCCTCTCCGCAGGCTTCCCCAGCAGCGCTGAGCGGTGTTCGAGTTGGGATGCTATGCAAAGTGCCCTTTTGAAATCAATAGTGCATCTGCTTCATTAATTTTTTTAACAGTCTGACTGAATAAACATAAGAGGTAGTGGAACTGTGGCTAAAACTATTTGCAACGTAATGACAGCTGCTATCTGGCAGAATTTAAAAATAAAGGATGGGTGGCAAAAGTAATGATCTCTTCTGTGCATTGTCCTGCTGAGTGTTCAGCTGCAGTCCTGCCTGGCTCTTCAATGTCCTCATCTGCATTGGGAAACAGAGCCTGGTTTTCCACGTGGGTATAGAAGGGAACGCCAGAAAGCGTTGCCTTGAGCAAGGTTTGCAGGATCCTTCCTCAGAGCAAAACTTTAAGTCGTCAGAGAGACGGGTTCTCATTTTTTGATCTCGTGTGAAGATCTACCAGCAGGCCCTCAGCTCGTGGGTCCTGCCCATGCAATGGTGCGGGAGGACCATGCCTTTTTCAACAAGGGCGTTTGTCGCCTGTTCAAGAGCAAAGCCCTGCTGGTCTTAGCTTTTTCTGGTGGGATGGGGTTGACATGGGGCGAGAGTGGGTGGCTTGGCAGTGGGATGTGTTGCTTTCCTCAGGCGGGGTCCAGCCATTTGGATGCAGCCTTGCAGATAGTTGGAGCATCTGCGCACAGGAGCAGACTTGATGCGGTTATCTAGAAAAAGTGTTTTATTTTAATGCATTGACTTCTTAGGTCTCTGAATGACATGGGCTGAGAAAGGGAAGCCAAGAAAAATAAACGTAAGAAAATAGTACTCACTAGGTCTCTACCCTCCTTAAGCTTTTTTTTTCCTCCTCTAAACAGAAATTACTGAAAATAGTGAACTTGCCAAAAGAATTAGTGCCAGAAAAGGCTTGTTCAGCAGTAACGCTTTTGCCTCTGTCGACATCCAACTCGCACAAACCATAGGAAGGAGAAAAAAAAAGTACAAACCCAAAATGTGGCATCCACCTTGTGCCTGGGGATGCTTCGTAGCCAAGGAAAGATCCAGAGGCATGGGTGAAATTTGGTTTCAGCAAGAGGACCTGTGGCTTTAGCATAGCAGTAACTGTAGATAGCAGGTCACTCTTTTGGGTGGTACGTTTCTCCCAGGGAAGGGATCTCCTTCCTAGCTGCTGGCAGCTGCTCATGCTGGGAGAGGATGGGTTATAACATAGACTGTAACACACCCTCACCACAGGCACAGCAACCTCTGCATAAGCAAGAAAAACGTTCTTTATCTTCAGGAGGACGCGAGGATAGTGGCCCCAGTTGTTTCCTGGGTTGCCAGGGACTTTGCAAATCGAAGAAAAGGAGTGTAATTGTTGCAGTACAAAGCCAGATATACTCAAGGCAGACGGCACATGCTGAAGCTTTTCCGAATACTCGTAGGCCATCTTTCCTCGGTGTGACTGGAGGGCGAGTGCCGCACAAAAGGAGTGACAAGATGGAGACAGCAAAGGACTCTGCAATCGCTTGAGCTATGTAAATCACTGATTTTTTTTTCTTTTTTCCCAACTGAAATATTTTTCCAAATAAAATACAGCTGACAAGCATTTAATTTTAGGTTGAATGAAAAAATTCCAAATAAGTGTTAAATATTTCAAGTTAAATGTTTCAAGTCCATGGTTAGATATTTTAGTGAATTTATTGAATTTTTTAAAAAGTGGAAATTGAGTAAATCTTTAAAAACATTTCCAAGCAAAAGAATAACAGTTTTATTTAGACTGAAATTTTCTCTAGGCTTGTCGGCTGAATCACTTCCCAATTCTTGACCTGAAATGACTTCCCCCCGCCCCCCCCAGCTCATTTGAGTATACAATCTTTTGGCACAAAGTATAAATAGAGCATTTTTCTTTTCAAGTGTAAGGACCCTGGCTATTCCTGCCTCCCATCCTTCTGTCGACTGTTGGTATTTGGAGCCCAGCCGCCTAGTCCTCGTGAAACAGAAAGTGTAGTTTTGTAGTAATCTCTGCAGTGGTAGCAAAGTTTTTATCTATTATTAGCTCTCGGAGATGAGAACGTGTTAAACTGGCAGTTTCTTCTTAGCAAACCTCCCACACAGGCATTAAAAGATCTTTTACTGTATCTTTTAATGCACCCTTCTAACAGACTGGAGTCCAAGCATGCTTTTTAGAGGGAGTACGTTAACCACAGCGTGGCATCCAACTGTACGGTGAGAGCTGTATTTACGCTGTGTGTGGGATGGTGGCAAGCCAACCAGAGCAGCTGGTAGAAGAAGCCTTGTCTGAGAGACGGGGAAGAGGAAGAATAAAAAAGATTGCCTGTTTGCCCTGAAACTTGCCAGTCTTTTCTTCTTTCTTCCCTCCAATTGCACGAGTTGGTCAAATAAACTGTATTCTCCCCACAATCCTGCTTCCATCTTTAAACCCTCACAGCTACATCACTGCTAGTGAGATCAGAAACGCGTAGTTGGCGTTGGGCTGGTATGTGAGATCAGATAAGCAGAAGGAAACCAGGCCTTTGCAAGCTGGAGAGGAGGAGGACGGTGGGATTAATCAGAGCTATAACTGGTTAGAGAGCTGCCAAGGAGGAGGAGAAATACAATTCTATTTTCTGGAAGCTGTTCTTCCTCCAGATATAACCCAGCTTCTCCCAGTCTGAGCTAAACTGGTGATATTGGAGCAATTAATGATAAGTCCTGAACTTCATACAAATGTGCTGCTGCTTGTGTGGTGCCTTCAGCTCTCTGGTAATCTGAGTCTAAAGGGATGGTGGTAGCCTTTGCCTTGTTTTTAAACCCTGTTTTGATAGAGATTTGGGATGGCACCAGTGACAGGAGATCTGTGTACAACAGTAAATTCAGGAGAGAGCTGGCTGGTCAGGCAGGCGTCCTATCTGCTCCACCATCTTTTCTCTCACTTTTGGCCTTCGTTGAGTTACTGCTTGTGCTTTGATCCCAGGGGAAGCAGAGGATTCATGACACCTTCATATTCCCAGAGAAAGGCCTCTTTCTGCTGTACCTGACCCATCCTTGCTTTTCCATCTTCAGCAGCTTAATACAAGGTATGATAAAGCCTCATGATCCTTCTTGGCTCTCAGGTGTCTCTCTGTTGGTTTTTTCCCCTACAGCAGCTTTCCTCAGGTACTGAACTAGGGAATTACATCCTTCAGTTCAATAGGATCAAGGGACTGCCTGGAGAATAACAGCAGCAGTGACACATTGACTTGTATCGACTGAGGTGCAGCCTTTGGATTTTTACAGAAGACATCATTTCTTAGAAGCTGCCTCAAACTCAACATTGCATGTAACCTTCTCCCTCAACAATGTCACTGCAAATTCCGAATACTATTTGTTTAAGACAAAAGCTGTATTATTTCAAAGGAGCTAGTTTGCTCCCTTATGTTTGTCCAAGGATGATTGGGCCGGAGAGTGCTTGCAAGAGGAACTGGGTGGAGAGGTGGGTTTGGAGGGTTTGTTTGTCTGTTTAAAATGAAGCTTCTGGTGGGTTAAGAATGAAGCAGCGAGAACACTGCTGTGTCTGGGACACAAACCGCACAAAAGCTGAGTCCTTTTAACCAGCGTCTTCTAGTGCTGATCTAGGCTCTGATCTTGCACTGCTGAGGGTGGTGGGAACTCAGCCATTCAACAGAGTTTGAACCAGGTCAGGCACTGTAGACAGTTATGCCAAACAGGTGGAGCTCAGGATCTGGAGTCTAAGAACTGGGTTGCAACAACTAGGTGATATGGTGTGGCCTCACCTCGAGCACTGTGTGCAGTTCTGGGCGCCACAGTACAAAAAGGATACGAAGCTACCAGAGAGTGTCCAGAGGAGAGCCACAAAGATGGTGAAGGGTTTAGAGGGGAAGCTGTACGAGGGGCGGCTGAAGTCACTTGGTCTGTTCAGCCCACCCAGAGGGTGGTGGAGCACTGGAACAGCCTCCCCTGGGACGTACTCACAGCACCAAGCCTGACAACATTCAAGAAGCAATTGGACAACGCCCTCAGACACATGGTGTGACTTTTGGGGTTGTCCTATGCAGGGACAGGAGTTGGACTCGATGATCCTTGTGGGTCCCTTCCAACTCAGGACATTGTATGATTCTATGATAACTTGGGACTCTTAACTGTCAGCGTGTGCTGTGAAACTCAGTGTTTAAGAGGAAGTAATCTGCAGCAGGAGGAGGAAAAAATCAGAAGAACCCGAAACAAATCTGCTGGTGAGAAGCATGTGCGCTGCCTCTTGTAAGTAGAATTGGGAGTAACATCAGACAACAGTAGGACATCCACACAGGAGGAGGTCTTCCAGGATGGTAAGTACATCTGCCATCACTTTGAGAGTGCTGGGGGGTGGTCATGGAGAGATGAATGCACTTTGTTCATCTGCAGAGCTTCAACCAGCGTCTGAGGAGGATTTTGTATAGTGAAAAATCTCATCCTTGCATTTGAAATCCAAAATCTGAAACAGTTTGATGCTGATGGAGAAAAGAATTACCAAAAGTTATTTTGGGGGCAGGGAGAAGGCAGCCTTACTGTTATAAACAACAGTCTCCCATGTGTACTCAGGAGATTGTGGTGTTAGTTTGTGTTCCAGTCTGTGAAGCAACGCTAAGTAGTGCTTGTATTTATTGCTCTTGGATGAACTTTAGTCATTGAAATTGGCAGCTAGTACAGCCCTTAGAAGGAGCCATAGTTAATTACTGACTGGCTACAATATTATTCTTAAGAATTCTGGTTGAATCTGTGATATTTTTCTTTCTTGAAAATTAAACTGCATATTTTAGTGCAGTTCTCATGACTTCTGTATTGCTGCTGGGAATCTAACCCATCATCGGTCAAAGATATCAAGAAGGACTTTGAACCAAATGGTAGATGACTCTATTATGGCACAGATGAGATCGGTTCGCTCTCATATTTTAAGAGAAATGCTGCTTTTTGAAGCCATTTTGTAACTGTGGCTGAAAAAGAGAACTGAAACAGGTTGTTTCTCACAAGCTCCCTCCTGAAGCCATCACACGGCTGTAAGTGCACCTACAGCTGCAGTTCCTTACCAAGACACTGCATGGGCCACCGAATGTACCCTGGGGAGCACTTTAGCTCTGGGTGCCAGAGGGACAAGATGAGACCTCTCATGCTCTGGTTCTGTGATGAGAACCAGCCAGGGGGGTTGTTACTGGATAGCCCAGCCAGTTGGGACAGCTGCTGCCGAAGCAGCGAGCTGTGGAGCGTGACCTGCAACCTCACCGGGCTCTCCTGGCCTAGGCTGACGGGCGGCTGCTCTTGGTTTTCAGCTGTCTTTCTCCTCCTCCTTTGAAAATCCCCTTGCCTCAGTTTCCTGCCAAGCTCCTTAGCCTCTTCTCTCTTGCTCTCTTTTCCTTTTCTTCCCACTAAGTTTTCTGGGTTGGCATTTGGCCACTTTCTCTCCAGGCAGTGGAACGACGTGTGCTGCTGTCGCACAGCTTTCTCTGCGCGCTGTGTTATATCCCTGTCTCTGCTTGGGCTGTAAGCTCTTTAGAGTAAGGCACTGCGTCTTTTTACTGTGCTTAAAACATGAACTGGGATTTCAGGGGTGTGGGGACCTGACATTCACCAGGGAATGGCCAGCTGTCTTTCACTGCTGGCAGCAGCTCACTTTCTCCAGGGCTGGGAGAATGAGGGTTTACCTGCCAGCATTTATAACTATTTCTAGTGTAAAAGCTTGCCTCTGGATCTGGGGGCAGCCAGAGGAAGTGCCAGTGAAAAGCGAGTAAAACTGCCTTGGAAAGCAGGCACTGCTGTGGTGACTGCAGCTGACAGTAACAACAAGCAGACCCTGAAACAAACACTCAGCTTTCATCTCTGCAGCTCTAGCATGCTTTTAAGCATGACTGTTCATACCTTTTCTTCTCTCTCCACCTCTCTCATTCTCCCTTTTCTGCTTTTTTACCTTGGGTCCTCTCTTTTCACATCCCTCTCTGCATTCCCCAAGTCACACTGTTTCAGACCCACCTCCCTTGTCTCCCAAGACATCCTCCACCTCTTTGGTCCAGCCCCACTAGTTGTTGTGAGTTGGGTCCCACAAGAAGCCTTTGAGGCTGTATCCGTGCTGTGTCCAGCTCCTGCCTGTTCCACGTGGTCACAGCATCCATATGGAAAGGTGGAGCGGGCAGGAGTTGGACGCAGTACGGACATGTGTGGCCATGCTGCCTTACTGGTCTGGGAGGGCAGACACCATGAGCCCATCCAGTTCAGGTGACAATAGCTATGGACATATGGCAAGATGGATGGGACAAGCCTGGCAGGATCCTTCCTAACTAAAACTTGTTTGAGAGTGGCCACCCACAGAGCAACTGCGTATCTGATACCGTTACAGCATGTTCCTCCTCCAGGCTACAAACACCCAGTGGCTCAGGGATAGGAAGCAGTAGTTTGGGAACTGGACAGGTGGTGATATCATCTAGGAGCACTTTTTGAAATCTATCATACCCCAGGATGTGCTTCTTGCTTCTGAGCATGAAAAACAACAGCTGACTCCTATGGGCTAAATTCACCTCTGCTGGTGCAGGGATGATTCATGACCCATGTGTGGGGCACGTGTGAAGTTTTTGGTTTGACCTTCTGAGAATCCAAAACAGGCAAGCGGCCAACTACCCCTGCCCTACCATCTGCTGTGAGTTTGGGCATATTTTGGTATTTGCTCCTTTGGTTGCCTCTGCTGGTGATAACACAAGATTGGAGCAATGCTGTCTGAGGAGGAAAAGCAGTTAACTTACTTCCCAGGGCCATGGTTGCAACAGGGGAGAAGAGGCATTTAGATTTCAGTCTGGTCCATGTCCCCTTAACAGAGTCACTTCTGCAAGAGACAGCAACGCTGAAGATAACTCACATGCAGAGGAAGAGAGCAGGAGCCTAACAGAGTCACACACAGGGTGGCATTGATGTTGTACACTATCACCCACAGCTTCTGCGCTTAATTATTGCTTGTTGGCAAATGCGTTAGCTTGCAACAGGACAAAAGTGGGTGTTGGAGGATAATTTGAAGAGGCAGCGATGCAGTTGTTTACACATTAATTACTGCAGTGATTTTTGTGTGTAGACAGCACCAGGGGAAAAACTGCAGGGGCCTGTCTCTCTCTCTCACTTTGGAGTCTGTTGATGTCACTCAAGACCCCTAATACTGTGAGGATGTTGCACAGATCCGTACTTAAATCTCAGAGCACTATATAAAGCAATGGCAGTAACCTGCATTTTTAGTCTGTAACTGACTTTATATAAATGTTGCCATAAAGCTTTATTTTTCCCCTTGCATACATTTCTGTTTTTCAGATTGTGAAAAAAGCTTTAAAATCATCCCTGATGTTTAATGAGTCCTCCAACATGAAATTAAGCGTGAACAATCAAAAAGTCGCCAAAATGGTAATTATTGGGATACGCTACATTTGCTTACAAGAGCTGAGATTACACTGACATTTCTGAAAAGAAATAACAGATTAAGAATTATTTTATTGCCTGTTTTAGAAATCCATGTAGGTTTCGATCCTATTTGTAAACAAGTGAGTGACAAAACCCTCATTGATTTATCCAGTAGGCTGATCAAACCTTGCCGAGAGGGAGTAATGTGGAGCCTAATCCTGCAGCCCTGGCTCAGGACAGTAAACCTTGCTTGTACAAATACACTTCCACCATTAGCACGGTGTTTATTTGTTTATTCAGCATGCCTAGAGCACCTGGACATCACAGTGTACAGCGTGGTGACAGCCAAGATGTGACTTCAAAATAGAAATGTCTTCTAAAACCTATGCAATGTTTAAGTCTTGCCAACATGTTCACAGAATCAAATGCAGAACTGTTAAAAATTGGTGGGATTTTTTTGCCATCAATAAGGGGTAGAACAAACCAGAAGGCAAAAATTTAAGTAGATAGTCAGTTTAAAAACATTCTTCTCATTCAAATCACTGTCTGAAATTGATGGCAGCACTGTAGATCTTGAGAAAAGCAGAAAAAATGAAAGGTAAGAAACTTTATCTGCATAGAAACTGAAACAGATACTTTCAGAGGCAACTGGTTTCTGTGCAATTTTCATATGCACCCTTTGGGAGCTCACATTTATAGCTACAGCCTCACGACCACTCCCAGACTTGCTTCTCCTGTCTGGAGGTTCAAAAGCTCAACTCTGAAGTGCATATTGCCTATCACAGGGTGGTGGATGCTCCCAGCTCCCAAGAATTGCCATTGGGAGCCAGACATGATAACTGTTGGGGGGAAATGGATCTGCACTGGTGGCTGTCTTTTCCTCCTTAATACAGGGCAACAGAGCCTGGTGCTGTATGTTACAGCATGTCAGTGGCTGGACTCCAGATCTGGATATACCAGGTGGCTAGGCTTTTTTTTTTGTTGTTTTTCATCTACGTTCAGGAAAAAAAAAGGAAATGAAAAAGAAAAGGGAAAAAAGAAAAAGGGAAATGAAGCTAACTGACCACACTAGAATGACAAAGAAATACTCTTCAATCACCATATGGATAAGTGAGATTTGCGTAGTTTCACTTAAGTGAGGCTTAAGTTAAAATGCAAAACCAGAACATGTTCAGAAACCACAAAATGTCCTTCTGCTTCTAACATTTTTAGACCTGTTTTTTCTTCCCTGACTTCATGCAGTCCTCTTTATGGTAGTGCTGGGCTTGATCCCACAGCTACACTTGTGTTATGGATTTCCTTGTTTTGATTTTTGTAGAATTTTGTTGAACACCCATTTGTCTTGTGATAAAATAAAGCTAATCAACATCAAACTAATCATCAGGTTGGGGAAAAAACAGGTTTTTGATATGATGGCACAGGAAAAATTAAACCAAAACTAAAATCATGGTCCTCACATAAACCACCACCTATGCAGCTTGTGGTCCTCACTTTCAGTGGTACATCTAAGAATACTGTCTGCCAGCAGTTGAAAGCAGAACCACTATTCAATGATTGTGATTTACTCACCTGCAACAGGTAGTCATCCATTAGCTGATGTATCAGTGACTTGGTGATCGCTTAAGTCTTCTCCTATTTGGATTCTGTTGTAGTTTCAAATCTTAGGGGCACTTTTGATACTTGGCCTTGTCCTGATGGCTGTTTACTTCATGAGAGTGGACAGCATAGTTGATCCTAAGGGAGAAGCAGCAGTTGTCAGCATTTACAAAGAGGTGGAGGAGGAAGAAGGACTCTACGGAGATCTCCCAGGAACCACAATAATTGAGGAGGAATCCAATAGGTCCAATGACTCCTGCAGGTAAGCCATGCCCAATGGCACATGGAGAAGTAATCACTAGGTGGAGAAATAGTTACAATGCTGACAATATCAGCATGGCTTTTGTTCTCTTCCCATTGTACAATAAGTGATAAAGTACTATTATTTGGGAAAAGTGGGCGTGTTGTTTAGGCATTGGGTCATTAGTAGTTGCCCGTTATGAGGGGCGGTAGGGGCAGCATCACAGCTCCATTACTGGTCCTGTGCTTGTATGTTCAGCATAGCTCTGTAGCTGCTCCACCATGTCCAGCGATCCTCCCGTTGTGGCAGTGGTGGGAGGCAGCAGATTGACCAGTGGGGAAAGCAGCCTCTGCTGAGCTCACCCTCTTTCAGAGGCAGGGGGGGCAGTGGGTGTTTGTCCTGGCAGAGGGTGGAGAGGGTACCAAAGCGACACCCAGCCCCGGGAGGTTATCTTTCTCCTCGTCTTTAGGATGGTAAAATTCAAAGCTCAGAATGGCTACTGAGAAGCCATTCTGCTGGATTTGGGAGGACAATGTATAGATAAGATTGGCTATAAGAACTGGGGATACAGAGTACTCTGAGCTCATTTGTCCAGCTCAGCTTGTTTGCTTTTGAGGTTGACGTTCAAAATGGCCAACAGTACAGCATGACAGGTGCTTGTTTTCCTGCTTGGGTCACAGTCACTTGCTTCACGATATACAATTGCCATTGCAGCTTTGAACTTGTGGAAAATGTTCCTTATGACTTAGCTTTTGAGATAAATAGCACTGCAGCCAAACCCTTGTACCAAGCCTGGATGAGACTCCTTGATATAGCCCAGGAAAAAATTCACGTGGCTTCTTACTATTGGTCTCTTACTGGGAAGGATATCAACGTCAATGATTCATCTTCCAAGCAGGTAAGAGAAAATCAATGACAAGTACATCCATGGTTGTATGTCTCATGTACATGTGGCAGATGGCAGATTGACTGTGTGGTTTGTCTCCTAGAGACATTGCTTGACTCTTCCTGCAAACCCAGAAAGGTTTTCCGTGCTGGTCTGAAGCAGCACACCAACTTTCCTTCTTCAGTCAAGCTAGACTCCATCTGGGCTCTGTCTATATCTCTGAATATTTCTATACTGTGTTTTAAGAGCAAGCCAGAGGTCATTCTCAACCCCACACTCAGTTACCCTGCAGATGGACAGCCTGTGGTAGAGGCAGCCAGTGGCATGGCTGAAGAGCCTACAAGATCCCATATACACAAAGGAACATGCCAGTTCCCACTGGCTAGCTGGAAGAGTCAGGAAGCAACGTCTGCTGGACTTTTGATTGCGTCAGAGGCTGCGTCTTCACCATGTACAGGCACAGCATCTGCATTTGCCCATTTTGCAGGTGCCCCTGAACCATGCCGTTGGACAGCAGCTTAGGACATTTGCTCTCCTTTGCAGGGCTGTCCTCATGGGCACCCTGTGCAGCCAGGCTTCCTGCAGGGCCTCTCTGGCTCCACCACCACAAGTAAATGACAGAAGCCACAGCACAGGCTTGCCTTGCAACCCTCCGTCATGTTTAATTGTCCCTTGGCTCTCTTTTGGCCTGTGGCAGCTGGCAACCTCCCAGGCAATCCTGAGCAGAGTCTGGGGGACAGTATGGGCTGGGGACTGTTCTGAAAAGCAGAAGGGACAAGGCCACTCTATTTCAGGCAGGTACGGAGTTTAGTCATGTGTCAGGAATTGCGTTGTTTGCTCTTAGACCAGATGCTGGCCTGTTTATTACTGTGGGGAGAGCCTCTGCCTCCCTCCTGGCACACCTTTCTCATTGTCCTCACTCTCTGGGACTGGTCTCCTCTTCCTCACTAGGTGGGTCTGGTGCTGTAAGCTGACTCAGCTCCTCCATATGAGAAGAAATAAAAGTGACAGATGTAAGGCTGAGCCCTGTCTCTGCTCAAGGGACAGCTCAGTTTAGGACAGTCTCTGTTACTTTTACCCTTAGGGAGAAATGACACAGCATATCTGTTGAGCATCAGCATCCAACAGTTGATCTTCACTGGGGTGTTCACCTTTGAAGTCTGGAATGTTTGTGGTCGTACTTTTAAACCTTATCTCCAATAGCATTAAATGATAGAAAACAAACTTTGATTCATACATTGGATCAGAATCTTTGTTCCTTTTTTTCTCTGGTTGAAACACTCCTGAAATAGGTGAAATTTCTGACCTTCCTTGTGTTGGGGTTCTTCAAAGGAAACATCCATTAGTAACACTGTATTTGCATATATTTTACTAAACGTTCTATAAAAAAATATAAAAATTAACAAAAAATGTACCATGCAGGGTGAAGATATTCTGAAGAGGTTTGAGAGACTACTTGCAGAGAATGTTTCTGTGTATGTTGCAGCAAGTATGCCAACTTTGGCTACAAATTCAACTGACCTTGAGATTTTAGAGGAAAAAGGTAATTATCTCACTTCAGTGATGTCCTCAGAACTTCAGTAATGCAAAAAGGCATCTGAGAGAAACTGGTCTCCAAGGCCTATTCTGGCATGGTGCTTACCTGGGTTCACAGGAAAAGCACTATGTATTCACTAGTTTGTGATTTCTGTGTATGTTGTCATGCCCTTAAGGATTTTTCTGAAAGTTCACATTTTGTATATTTTTGCAAGTTATTGTATTCCCAGGAATGAGTGCTTGTGAATTTTGTTAGTTATTACCAGCTGCAGGTATTAGACATCCAGGCATGTTCTGGCTGTCAGGGAAGCAGTGTAGATTACCATCTCCATGCTGTATCTAAACTCTTTTTGCCCTTCCCATCTTTCTTCAGGGGCTTATGTAAAAAAGATAAATTTTGGACATTTGGCAGGAGGAGTGTTGCATAGCAAATTCTGGATTGTAGACATGAAACACGTATATATTGGTAGTGCAAATATGGACTGGAGATCTTTATCTCAGGTAAGCTCTGCTGCTGCATAATCAAAAATCTGGGGGGAGATTCATGTCCTAGCACAGACAGAAATCATGATGATGTAAAATATTGACCGAGTGGGAGAAACAGCAAAGAAACCCCTGGAGGCGCGGTGGCTCTTTCTGGGGCTGTGACACAGCTTGCTCTCTTCGCAGGTGAAAGAGTTTGGTGCTGTGATATACAACTGCAGCTGCTTGGCCAAAGACCTCTGGAAAACATTTAGTACTTACTGGGATCTTGGACATGCTAATGCTACCATCCCATTCCCTTGGCCTCTTAATTATTCCACCCACATTAACAAGCATCAGCCTCTGGAAGTAGAATTTAGTGGAATCTCAACAAAAGCCTATTTTTCTGTAAGTATGTTTTAAAATAACAAGATAGATGGTAAACTATGTTTAGGCATTGGCCAGAAAAGTTTCTTCAGCAGTCCTCAGTTACTTGTGCTCCAGTTGAATAATAATTCATTCAACAGGTTTCTCTGGAACTACTCAAGGAATAAGGGTCGACCCAGCTTCGGCTGTCAGTAGTATGGCAAGGATGGGGTGCAGGACTCCTTTAATTCCCTGTGGGCTCAATATATCAATAAGTATCTGACCCATCAGGACATGGGAGGCATGAGGAACAATAGTGGTCCTCTCCAAATGCTTTGTGTAATGAAAACTGAACAGATCTGACAGAAAAAGCATGAAATCATTGACCCGCATGTTTTCTTCTTTACAGGCTTCTCCTCCAGCATTTTGTCCAGAAGGTCGCACCCACGACCTCTTTGCTATAATCAGTATTATCAGTGAGGCACAGAAATTTGTCTATGTTTCTGTTATGGAGTATTTCCCTACCAGCCGTTTCATTCATCCAGAAAGGTACAATTTTAATTCTGAGCAAATCAGTTAACCACGCTATTTAAAGGAAAAACGTACTATTCCCCCACTTCTGCAATAAAAATATTCAGAGTGGAGAGAACTGAGGCTTTGCTCTGCACTCACGACTGCCTTGTGGACTGTGCAAATACCGATGCTACAGGAAGGATGGTATCCCATACTGCCCATGTGCTTTGCTAGCACTTTAGAGCAGCCTCCTGTGCCCTTCACAAAGCAAGAAAACTGAAGTGCCAGGCTAGGGACAGTCAGATACAGCTGCCTTCAAAATACAACAGAGCAGCTTTATGAACAGAGAGAGAGGAATGGGAACAGCAGAAATATATCTGATGTCAGACTTTTCAGAGAAAATATTGCTTTGCTCCCCTCTTCTGCTCTTGTTTCTCTCTTTCTGTTCTTTATTTCTGAAGACTCTTGCCTTCTGGCCCTGCTGCCTGTTTGACCTACTTGACCCATAGTTTAGAGGCTGATTCTTAACTGTCCTTGCTGACCTCTGCAATCGTAGCTGAAACAGTCTCTAAGGAAACTTCTGGGCTTTCATTTTACTTTTTTTATAATTCCATCTAAGGGCATCCAAGTTCCTGAAGCATGCTGGGTGCACGCAGCAGCAGGTCTCAAAGAGAAGGTGGTAGTGGTGATCTGGAGTGATCAAATTGTGTGTGGTGGATCACTGCCACGATCCCAGTGGGCTGCCCAAGGACAGCAGAATTACGCAGACTCTGCACATCAACTCAAATCTGAGTAACACAGAAAGTTAGTCAGTCATGGGGCAACACTAAGGCCCCAAATCCTCTTAGGTATGCTTGAATTAGGGTGTTTACATGCAACCAAGTGCTCTGAGTATTATCTGCTTAGTATATTTCTGAGTTTTCCAATCATCTAAATAATCTGACTGAGAAAGAAGTTCAAGCAAAATAATTATGTACAACGTGGCTTGTAAAGAATAGGGTGAGCTCTAGGTTGCCATTTAGTCACAATTATACCACATATCATGTCCTCTGGCACGACTGTGTAAAGCCTCTGTTGTTCAGCTGGGCATGTGTGTGTTAGCAGGAAGGGTGTACGATAATAGAGAGACACAGATGATTCCACTGTTCTGAAACAAAATCTCAAAGTCTAGCTTCCGCTTGGAGGATATTTTTTATAAATCAAACAGCTTAGAGGATTTTCAGTTTCTATGTTGTACGGTTGAATCTCTGGGTTTCTCATCTCCTGCTTTTAGCTAAGAATAGGTTCACAGAAAGTCTCTTTTCCCCCATAGGAATGAGTGTGTTAATACTCCTCATTCTTCATCTGAAGCCTTAATCCACCATTTGTGACATCTAGGGCCTGATCTGATGCAAACAAGAGTTTGAAAGGCCTAGGGAAAGCGGCGTGGGGCCTCAGGCTATCTCCACAGCAACCAGCTGTAGTGTAATGAATTGAGGCTGATTAGTTCAGGTTAGGTTCCTCCAGCAGCTGAGGCCGAGGAAACAAAGCTTCTGTCTTAATGCCCGAGTGTTAATCAACTAGAAACCAATATATTTAAAAAATGGAAACTGTTCAAAAATAGCATTTCTTAATAGCATGTTTTTCCACATTTTTCAGGATCTGCGAGTCAGCCTGAGCCTGAAAGCACGTGGCCGGTCTGTTGATCATGATAGGACAATGTGCAAGGGAGGATTTGAGAATTCAGGCCTTTGTACATAAGACCAAAAGGAATAAGTTAGGCAAATTAATTCATCATTGCTCATGGGACTGTGAATGAGTGCCAGACCTCTCTCTGTATCAGTCCTTCAATCTGTACTAAAGATGCTTGTCTTCCTCTGTGCAGCACTTGTTAGGATCTATGGAATGAAAATGCTACGTGGGTTTTTGGAGTTATTAGTCCTGTGATGTACATTGTCCAGATCTTAGTGTTGTGTAGTTGGGTGAAGGATGTTAAAAGTTTTCCCCTAAGCTACTGCCAACACAAATGTCGGGAAAACGGACAGCCCCGTGTTCAGAGAGTACAGCTGTGTTTCTTACCTCGGGGGCACGTGGCATACTAAAGAGGGCAAGGAGAGATGGGAAGGGATAGAGCCTGTCCATGCTGGCTGATGGCACAGGAGCACTGTGGACACTAGAAACAGTCTCCAGGGTCCTGAAATTGCCATATTCTGCAAAATGGCTCTTAGGCTTTCCTCTGGGCTCTGCAGTGTCCTTTTTACTTCATGCTGCATTATCTGGCTTTAAATTGGAGTTGCTGTTATTTTTAGTTTCCCAAGGAAATGAGCATGATGGCACCATGCTATGTGTGTATCTGTGTACATGCACTTTACTAAGCTTTAAACTTTTTGATCAATCTCAACCCAATTTGGCAGAGACTGGAGGTCTCAAAACACACTGGGAAAAGAACTGGCTGGGTAGAAGGCAGAAATCTTATTTGTACCTCCAGTGAAGGCCCAAGTGCTTCTCTTACTAGACATCAGAGATCCCATCTGTGCACAGTGTCACTTGTATTCCCAGTTTATTGTCACAGCTTTCTACTGAACTGTTTCCAAAATATCCCTTTTTCCACCCACCTACTTTTCTCTAGATACTGGCCAGCCATTGACAATGCTCTGAGACGTGCAGCTTTCAACTACAGAGTACAAATTCGGCTTCTGGTCAGCTGCTGGACCCACTCTGACCCAGCCATGCTCTACTATCTGAGGTCCCTGCGTGATCTCAACAACCCACGTGCCCACATCAGTGTCGATGTGGTAAGATAAGAAACCTGATTTTGGAAAGACAGCTTGCGGATATGGGCCCTCCACTGATTTTTGAGTCTAAGCTGCCAGTTGCATGTGCAAGTATCGCGTTTTAGAGAAGCAGACTGTCCATTGTTGCCGCAACTGTTTTGGATCCTTGAGAAAATAAGGCCCAAGAGACATAACCTTTGAGGAAGCAGCTATTGCAAGCTACTAGTGATACCAAGGGATGGGCCTAGCTGCAGCACTTGCGACGTTATCCAGGCAGTTGCTTTTGCTGGCAGTAACAGTTTATGTGACAACTTAGTGCTCTTCTCATAGACTTTTTTCCTGTATGGATTATCTTAAATGGGTATAATTACTATCAGTTTTTTACAATTGAGAGCTCTGCTGACTGCCTATACAGATGGACCCATTTTTGAACACTAAATATTACACACAGGCCATAGACACTAGACTGGAATGTATCAAGTGGGGTAGGGTAGGGATGGTGTGGAACCTCCCAACATAATGCAGTTACCGCAACAGAGGAAAGCCACAGAAGTAAGGAGGAATGGTTTTTACAAAAAAAAAAAAAAAAAAAAAAAAGAAAAAAAGAGGAAATTTTAGAAAAGAGATGAAAGTTTTCTAAAGGCTTGTGTGATTTGTTAGATCAGGACCTCATGGTCTGAACATAAGCCCTTAGGTTTACTTAAACCAAAAAAAAAAGGGAAATGGTTTTTAAAAAAAAAAAAAAAAAAAAAAAAAAGGAACAGAGATGTAGATTTTAGTAAGAGTTAACACAAAAAGTTAGGCGTTATTGTTGCCTGCAGTACCGCTTGTGTCTGTGATCAGCCCATTCTAGCACAAAATAAGAGCAGCAATCAGTGGCAAATGCAGATCTATTAAACAGCTGCCTAAAACTGCATTTAATTGTCTGCCCTGTAATGATAATAGCTGTGCCACTAATGGAACATTGTGAAGCAAACATTATGCTTATCTGATCTCAATTGCTTATCCAATTTTATGTATAGTGGAAGTACTATTTGTTTGTTAGTTTTCTTGGATAAGAGTAAAATGTCTTTTATGGTACATTTAATAACAGTGTGTAGAATACTGTCTTCTATTCTTTCTGTACTATTTTATTCTTTGAAAATATAGAAACTCTGCATTGTACAGTTATTCAATCTGTTACTCACTCTGGTATTTCTATTTATGTTTTTAATTTCTCTCCATCCAGAAACTCTTCATTGTTCCAGTTCTGAATCACACAAATATTCCTCACGGGAGAGTGAATCACAACAAATATATGGTCACTGATAAAGTAGCCTATATTGGTATGTATTCCATTATTCCAAACACTTACAGTGTCGTCAGATCTATAGGACTGAGGCTGAGATAGGATGGGCTGCAATATCAAAAAAAGACCTCATTTTACCATGTAAAGCAGATAAACATATCAACGTATATGGATTTATCAGAATGTCTGCCTTGGGTAAAGAAGCAGGGATGTGAAGGGATGTGAAGAAAATAATGTAGGTCAAGTTCAGTAAGAGATTATTTCATATGATTGTGAACCGTTAAGAACAGAGCATGACAAGTCTGAGCGCACTGCCTGTGACAAGCACAGTAGGAATTTCACAGACTGTGTGCTCAGAATGTTGTGGTGATAGCTGATGCTCTAGTATATAACATTATCTATCGTGCTTTAATAAAAGAAATTGCTGGGAGGAATTAATTCCATGCACTGTTTGCTGAACAGAGTTCTAGGATTGGAAATGAGAAAACAGCAGTGTCAATTGCTGCTCAATTCCTGAAAGTCAGGATGGTGTTTATTTTTCACTCTTTTATTAGGATCCCTCAAAAAAGGGAATGTGAAAGGGCTCTGTCATTTCAGTCAGCTCACCCTCCAAGCAATGCAAACCAGCAAATAGCCTGATCTTCCAACGGGCTGAGGACTTGCAGCCTCAATTGCCTTTAATAGAACTTGTTTCTTACTGAGTTGTATTTTGAAGACAGATATGCAGATAATTTGTTTTCATGCCTAAGCACCTTCTGGAATTGACAGCATATTTTTCTGGCTAAGGTGAACACCAGAAGTGCTAAGTGATAAAAGGTGCATTTAGTCACAGTGTTTGATTTTCTGAATGATGGTAGTTTTGGAGAGAGCCCTAGACAATGTCTACAGCTGGATTCCCAGCTTTGCCTGGTTTGAAAGTGGGCATTGCATGCTGAGCTCACAACAGCTCCTGAGGATTTATTGATCAAGGGTCCAGTTTCTCCTCTTGTTTTCCTTTAATAAGTAAAGAGAATTAAGCCCATTAAGGATTTTTTTTTTCTTTAAACACAGAAACGCATATCAAACACTGGCTTTTACCCCTCTTAATACCCAAACATTACCCTCTATTCCCATATTTATAATGAGTAGATTTGTGCATCTCTGCCACAGGCTGTATGGAATCCGAGTGTTACGAAGCTTCAGGGTTGCAGTTAATACTGACTTTCTGAAACCCGAGGTCTGGAATAAGAAGGAGGTGACCTGATTTTTGCTGGTCCTAATGAGATTTGCAGTTGTACAGCAAATCAGCAAAGCAGGCAATGTGGACTTAACAAGTATGGAGATCAAACAGAACACTGGGAAATGAACGTTTTCTAATTAGCTACTTTTCCATTGCATAGGGACTTCCAATTGGTCAGAAGATTACTTCATTAATACAGCTGGCGTGGGACTAATTATCAAACAGAATTCAACCAACCTGCATAGAAGGCACCTGCCTATCCAGGAACAATTAAAAAATCTTTTTGAGCGAGACTGGAATTCCAAATATGCAGTGAATCTGGAAGATGTGCAGGGACAGAAAGACTGTAACTGGAGGGGCAGGCTCTGAAGTGAATTGAAATATACATTTTAAATAGAAACAAAAATGTATTTGAATCTTGTTCCCTGTGCGAAACAAGGATCTTTCTTCTTTATGTCTTTGTTAGAGAAATCACTTCCTCATGGTGCCCACACTGTTGGATGTTGCAAGAACTTCTCATAGTTGACTCTCCCTGCAAAACCATTAGTCAGTGTGCGACATTTCCTTTTTTGTGTGATTACCTCATCCCATAGTTAATGAAATGCATACAGTGTTATATGACAAGCTGTCTGATATTAAAGCAAACATGGAAGATACAACCAGATCTTAATACATCAGAGACGCAGATCATTATTGTGGTATTTTATTGTAGGAAGCTATATATTTCAACCTTAATGTTCCATTAACAGTGTTTGCTTAGATGTGTTTAAGGATATTTTTAATAAACTCCTGGCGACTTTAAGATTTGAGCCATGTAAGTGATCACCTACAATAGCAAGGGCAGATTTTTAAAAGCATTTAGGAGTCAGAGGTACAGGGAAATACCTGTATTTAAGCGTTGAGGCTAGTCACCAGAGTTAAATGCCTGGGATTTAAATCTTGGGGCCAGCTTCCAACTCAGCTGCCCTGGACCCCTGAGTGCTGAGGAGTGGTTGAATGTCTGTGCCTTGGCCTCATGCAGCAAATAGGACGGGGGGAGCGGGGCGAAGCTGCTGCGTGAGTGCTGGTGTGGCAAAGGCATCCCACCTGCACTGTGGGCAGTGCTTGGGGAGCATCCTTGCTCCTTTAAGGCTACCCTGGTGCTGGCCCTGACCAGCATTGTGTCTCTGGGCTGCCTTTTCTTCTGCAGTCATGCAGGGACCATAAACCTGAGCCATCTGGTGCCTTACATCCTTATCGGCCAGTGCGCAGCGGCTCTGCCCTGGATGATTCTCAGAAGTGACAGGAAAGGAAAGCAGGGCACTCCAGCCTTGGAAGGGTGTGAGCGACACTGGCTCGGGCTCTGTGAGCCTTGCCGGTGCCAGGCACCTTTGCCTGACACTGGAAATGCAATTGCAAAGTGAACTTTTTGCTTTGGGACTGATGTACAGCAGAGGCAAGAGAGCTCAAGGCAAAAGCCCAGGGCACGGCTCCACAGAAGGGTCAGACAAACCCCCTGTCCTGGCACTCCATCTCTGACCTGTGAAAGCACAGAGGACCTCTCCATCCCTGAAAGGCGTGTGGCAGCTCGTGGGTTCACTCCCATCCTGGCAGGGCCCCATTTGGTTGCATTTTAGCTCTGAGGCCATCTCTCTTGCCACAGACACAGCAACTGGGTAGAGGGAACACAGGCCTCCCCATCACGGTGCAACCTCCCCAGCCCCCAGAGGAAGCGTTTTGGTGCTTTTGAATCCCTGCCCTGTGCTGAGAATGACAACGGGACCTGCTGTGATCGGCTGTGTGTGGACTGATTTATACCTTTGTGAATACACACAAATCCCCATACAAATAAGGCCCTTTCCCCATGAGGTCTTCTGGAGATGATCCCAACTAATTTTCCATTTTTTGATTTCCAGGCTGCTCCTTAGCTGTCTCTTCCAGACACTTCCAAGATTCCTTGGATTGTTTTATCCATCATTACAAATCAATGCTTGTTATGGCAGATTTTTAAGACATGTAGTTATATTTACCAATAACGTTGAAATTTTGTGAGTATTCACATATGTGCAAACATATTGAGGAAGATGCAGGTGCTTTTAGTGCTCTCCTCCCCTATTTCCTTTCTAGAGGCTGCTTAATATTCTGAGAGTTCCATTCACTAATTAAAATTTCTAGCGAAGTAGAACCTCCCCAGCTGGTTTTCACTAGCTTCATTTCACGGGTTTATTATCCTGTACCAGCAAATACATCTGACCATGCACTGTATTAATACTTGCATGCAAGACTGACATTGGGCAGATTTTTCCCAGTGCAATGAGCACATGTGAATGGTGGGTCAGTTTGAAAATCTTTTTGAGAAGTTACATCTTTTATCAACAAAACTGTTTTCTATAGAGGAGTGCGCTCCTCTAGATGGCACTCGAAGCTATGTTTTCACTGTTTTGGAGGGCATAGATACTGCAGGAATAAGAAGAAAACTTCTTCTCTACTTGTGAGCTCAAATCTGACAGTGCTGGATATGGGACAGAGTTTCTGGGCAAACCGGCAGACTTGTCTTCTGGTAATGTAAGACTCGTCTGGGGTAAGGTTCAGCTTATAAAGGAAAAATTGATGCTTATGCGAGTGCTCTTTTGTTTTCTTTACTGGCATCACCTATGTTGTTTTTCCTCCACATATGAAGGAAGGGCTTACGATTAAGACAATGAACTTGAGTTTATTTCCCTGGTTTCTTGTGAGCCTTTTTAAGCCCCTTCGCAGCTTGATTCTCATGTACTTGTTCTCTATTACAAAGGTAGAATGCAGTGTAAATTATAACCAAGCTTTGAGTCTCTTAGTACTTTTCCATTTATGAAACTGGGTTAATAACAGTCCTTATCCACCCACCTGTTTCTTGGCTGTTTCATTTAGATTGTGATCTCTTCAAGTTAAGGACTGTACCAAATGTAAGCTGGGCCCTCCAGTAGTATTCATTAGCATCTATTTATTACCCTTGGATGGATTTTCTAGTTTGGTTGCAGGCAGTACAGATTTTTCTCAGTATTGGTTTATTCATGTCTATAAAACATTGTTGGTTTGAGTCTTGAGCATGGATAGTCTCCTCTGATCAGCTCATCTCATGTACCTGTGTTACGATGGAGTACAACTTAAGTGAATCAGTCCTGCTTTACCTGAGCGATTTCAGGCAGAGCTGCTGCACTGCTCTCCCAGCAGTCTCATTTCTGAGCACGCTTGGTTTGGTGCAGTGCCTTGTGGCTACAGCACTGCTGACAGCGATGAAGATGACAGCAAGACAGAATCTAGCTGGCTCCATAGGTCCATGAGCTCTGACAGGACTGCAGTCACCTGGGTTCACACATTAGAATCATAGAATCATTGAATCGTTTAGGTTGGAAAAGACCTTTAAGATCATCAAGTCCAACCGTTAACCCAGCACTGCCAAGTCCACCACTAAACCATGTCCCCAAGCACCACATCTACCTGTCTTTTAAACATCTCCAGGGATGGGGACTCAACGACTTCCCTGGGCAGCTTGTTAGACACCAGCTTGTTCCAAAAGCTTTAGTATTATCTGTTTTCATTTTTTTCCCCCATTACCCAGGATCTTCCTTTCCCAGTTGTTCCAGATAAATCATACCTTTGTTGCTTTCATCCAGGTACTGAGAAAACTTTCCATCTACTATTTATGCTATATCAATGTACACTTAATTTTTTGACAGTCATAAAAATCTCCATAATCCCTGGAAGACAGCTCTTCTGTCATGGGCACTGACTGAGGACCTCACCGCTCTCTGCAGCTTCCTGAGGAGGGGAAGTGGAGAGGGAGGTGCTGATCTCTTCTCCTTGGTATCCAGTGATAGGATGCGTGGGAATGGTTCAAAGCTGCATCAGGGGAGGTTCAGGCTTGACGTCAGGAAACATTTCTTTACCGAGAGGGTGGTCAAACACTGGAACAGGCTTCCCTGAAGGGTGGTCGATGCCTCAAGCTTGTCAGTGTTCAAGAGGCATTTGGACAATGCCCTTAATAAAATGCTTTAACTTTTGGTCAGCCCTGAAGTTGTCAGGCAGTTGGATTTGATGATGGTTGTAGGTCCCTTCCAACTGAAATTCAATTCAATTCAATTCAATTCAATTCAATTCAATTCAATTCAATTCAATTCAATTCAATTCAATTCAATTCAATTCAATTCAATTCAATTCAATTCAATTCAATTCAATTCAATTCAATTCAATTCAATTCAATTCAATTCAATTCAATTCAATTCAATTCAATTCAATTCTATTCTATTCTATTCTATTCTATTCTATTCTATTCTATTCTATTCTGTTCTATTCTGTTCTATTCTATTTTATTCTATTCTTCTTCATATGTATTATCTCATTCAGGATTAATTTTGGCTGTCTTGCCTTTGGGATATATGAGAGGTACTGCTTCAAATATAACAACAATATAGCCAACCAATAGAGATGTATTCATGTCTTAACAATGCAAGAAATTACCAGGGTGGGAGTGTCTTTCTTTTTAATGCATTTATACCTTCTTTTGCTTGTCAAATCACAGTTGTAGGTTTGTTTGGCTGGAGACTGTTTGTAGATGTTCAGCTGAACAGCCCACTTTTTCAGATGTTAAAAAATAAGTAGCAGTAATCAAGGAAACCTACCAGAGGTAAAAGAACAACCTGAGCATCTCAAACTAAGTATGCAGGTGGGGTCAGAATCAGCCTGTTGACAAAATGTCTATGTTCTGTAGGTTTGTGTTTGTGATCCTTGCACCCTTTTGAGGTCTGTTCTTAGCTATTCCTGTGCTCAGACCCTTGGGTAATACCTTGTTAACCTGGTTGCTTTTTCGCTAACCTTCACCTTTCCCAAAGCTGGCAGTAGCCTATTTGGAGGAAAATTTTATTGCTGCTTCTTTTCTCTACTGATCTTCCCTTAACTATTTCATTCATCTCTTAAAAACATCATAGTGATTATTGCTCTGTGGTCATTACTGTCTCACAGCTCAATTTTAATTGACTTGATTCTGTCACCTTTGCAACAGACTCCTACACTCAGTGCTGTCTAGGTGGATTCCTATTTGTGGGCCTAAGTAAATGGACATTACTGGAGAAACATTTTATGTGAAGGCTACTTTGCAGGCAGGTGTGAGATGCTGTTAGTATGGGATGTCCTTTATTACATACATTACCTTTTTCTGGACTCAGTTTTTCTGTCTTGATTGCAACGTTTTCCTCAGTCCTGGTATATGCCGTTGCTGTCTGATGTGGTAACTTTGGGTCTATTGAACAATGACTTTTATAGTTAGGGAAACTTCAGAGAAATGCTGCATGATCCAAATAAATGATACATGCCTAACACTTATGTGAACAGTCTCTTCAGAGATAATTAGAATTCTCTTTAGAGTAACTGCCAGCAGTTCTTTTTAGAATATTTAAGCCTGCCACAAAGACAGAGAAATGAAGAACATCTCAAGCTGCAGATGGTTAGACAACCAAGTACACTTCCTTTACAACCCAGTTTCTAAATGTTTTGCTGTGTCTGCTTTCCCTGTACTAAGTAGAATATGGAGAGAGAAAATACAGGATGAGAAAACTACTCTAACGAAGCATGTCTGCACATGCAAATGTATAAAACTCAGGGTTGTAATG